TCTGTCTCTGTCTCTATCTCTGTCTCTCTTCATTGTCTCTGTCTCTATCTCTGTTTCTGTCTTTCTGTCTCTGTCTCTATCTCTGTCTCTCTTCATTGTCTCTGTCTCTATCTCTGTTTCTGTCTTTCTGTCCCTGTCTCTGCCTCTCTATCTCTGTCTCTCTTCATTGTCTCTGTCTGTCTCTGCCTCTCTCTCCCCAGAGGGGTCCCGGGCCCGTCACCCTGGCCATCTGTTGACACGACTCTCCTAAGGTCCTGGAGACGACGAAGTCCAGCTGTCCCTCCAGCCTCTCTGGGCCTTACTCTGAGAGGCTCCTGCTTCAGCCTCTGAGCCACAGGGCTCCGCGCCCCCCCCAGCCCTGGCTCCCAGGCTCTCGCGGTCGCTAGATACGCCTGCTCGTATTCTCCCACCTGGAGACTTTGGCCGGGCCTCTGTCTCCGCCTGGACCCCCTCCCCACTTCATCTAGTACACGTGTGCAACACTCATGAACATGCACACGTGTACACAGGCACACGAGTGAGCACACTCATGCACACACACGCATGGTACTGATGCGGGGGTCCCTGCTAGCCAGGGGCTCCTCTGTGACCCCCGCCTGTGTGCTCCTTGGTGAGGGTGCAGCCTGCACAGAGCACAGGAGGCCTGGCCTGGGGGTGCATGGCACACACTGTCCGCCTGCCAGGAGTGCCCGCCAGGAGGACCCGGGACTCCTGCGTCCCACACTGGGTGGCAGAAATCCTGGGCCTGTGGTCTCGGCATTGATCGGGCACTTGTGGTGCCCATATCAGGGGCTGGGGGAGGCAGGGAGCGGGGAGGACACCCACCCAGCCCCAGAAGCCAATCTAGAATAGGATGCTGTGGCCGTTTCAAAACCTGGCCCCCAGACTCCTTCTCTGGAAAGTTGGGGCCTGTGTCCCCCTGGGATCTGGGTGGGCCTGTGAGACCAGAATGGGACACTGGAGCTGGTGAGCCTATGCCCTGCTCTCCTGGGGCCGCCATGCTGTGAGGAAGCCCGATCGGAACGCCTGGAGCAGCCCACCCCTGCCAAATGCCCGGCACAGACACAGGCAGAGAGCACACGATGACGGACAGAAAATCACCCAGATCTTGGGAAGATTAACTGAGCAGAATAGCAACC